TTTTTCAGCAGCATTAGAAAGTCTACACACTCTGATTCGATGACGTTAATTCTACAAATTTATTTATAATTATACTTGCTTTTTCCTTCTTTGTATTTGGATTACAGTTGTACCACTTTAAAAGCCTTTGTGGCCAGAGCTGCTGACTTGTGATTGGAAAGGAAAAGGGTTCACATTTTGAGACCATCTGTGGGAGTTACATTGTCTGAAACTGACAAGAGATCATGGCAGATGGTGAGGTCACAGAGATTGACTCTTTGAGCTTGACATAATGTGTTCATGAAGGTGGAAGGAGAAAACCGATTTATTTTTTTAACCAACAGAAAACTTGGTGACAGGAAGAAGTGCACAATTGTTGACTCTGGGTAAAACATAATGCGTTGGCACACATGACCGGCTTATCTTTCAGAATGGCAATTTCTTGAAACACTTGGTGCCATGTTTATTTATTTTCTAGACACTTGATTTAAGTCATATATTTAAAATAATTTTTAGCTTAAAGACAATGTAAAAGAAAGAGAAAAGCTTTAAAAATACTTAGAAATGTATATTTTTAAATTAAAGGGTCATAAACCCTCATTCAAACCTGGTACAGCATCCTTCTTCATTTTTAATTGAATGAAACATATCTCGGTCACAATCCTATTTCCTTTTGTAATATTTATCCTACTGTGAGTTTAAATTACATTTGAAGGTTTTTGCTGTTTCTCTCATTCACTGGGATATTTCCCAAACCTGCATTAGTGCCTTATGCATAGCGGGCATTCAGTGTTTGCTGGATGAATAAATAAATGAATGAATGAACTTACAACTGAATCCTGTTAATTTTAGAAGTTTTTCTTAACAATTAAAACCATTTTTGCTGTTTTAAATTGGATTTATGGTGTGGTATTTTTCACTTACACTATGTATGAATTCTGTATTATTTATTTGTGAGTAAGAAACCTTAATTTGTCATGAGATAGCGAACTGCTTTTTTACCCTAACATTGGTTGAGTGCTAACCTTGTGCTAGGCAGTATCTTAATCATTTTTCATGCCTTGACTCATTTAGTTAAGTAGACATACTATTACTGTTTTGCAGATGAAGACATTGAGACACAGAGACATTAAAGTAAATTTGCTCAAGAAACTCATGCACTTTTGCTCTTTCAAACGTTTTTCATTTAGGTGACATTTAGAGGTTCCAATTTGTGCTAGCTCTAGCGAGAAGATACAAAGGAAATACTAAACAAAATTTTCTTTCATCAGGCTCCTTCATATGGCTACACAGCATTGTTATTGGTAGCCTATTGTCACAGTGTGCTGAAATAGTAACACTGTTCATTTGTTTTGTTTGAGAGTAGCACATGCCACTCAATAACACAGTCCTTAGGAAATATAAAACAAGATGGAATACAAAATATATTAATGAGGCAGATGCATGGAGACAGGCTTCTGTTGCCATCACACCCATACTCTGGACATGAAGAAATGGGAAAAGGGGCAAAAAGAGTAGACAAATTTGGTAGCTCCCCCCATCAATGTCTGCTTATATTTCATTAACTGGAATTACATCACATGGTCAGCCTGTCTAAGAGGGAGACTGAGAATGTAGTAATTTTAGTTGGACACATTCTACCTCCAACTTCTCCTAAGGAAGAAGAGGAAATGATTTTGGGTAGGCAACAATATCTGCTCTAGGTAGATGTAGCAAGTTTCTGAAATATAACAGGTATTTTGGATTGAAAAGACCTTATTGTCCCAGGTTCTTTGGATGGAAAAGACCTTATCATTGTTGTTATAAATACATTTCAGTCATTCATAAGGTAATCTTGAAAATATTTAAAATTGATTTTTTTGTGTGGTTAGTAGTAGTTAGTGTTTATAAGCTGCAGGGCATTTGGCACATTAACTAGTGGATTTGATGATTTTCACTTCGACTGTATCAAACTTTCTCCTAACGTAACCCTAAAAAACTCAGTATGCCTCTTTTCCAGATGAGGACACTGAAGCTCATGGAGCTTCGGTCACTTGGTCAGGGTCACACCAGCTAGTAAGTTTCAGAGCTGAGAATGAGCCTAAGTTTAGAAAAGAAACCATGCCCTTCCACTCTGCCAGCACTGCAGCTTTATTTATTACATAGGGCACTTCAAGCAAGGCACTTAGAACCAGTTGTTGTTTTGATTTTTTCCTATTTCATCAGTTCTTGTTTTCTTCTTCTTTTGAGTTCCCACTGATCTTTTTAAACTTAAGTTGGTTGCTTAATGGATGAAAAGAAATATAAATGTACTTCTAAGCATTTTAGCTGCACTTTATAGGTTTTCTTATTTTCATTGTTGTTCAGTTCTAAATATTTCGAATTTCCTTTAATTTGTGGGTTGTTTGAGTGATAATGTATTTTTATTTTCTAAATATCTGATTTTAACTTTTTAAAAAATGGCTGATTCCTAATTTAATTGATTGTGGTTAGAGACCACAAACTGGATAATATTGCTTCTTTGGAATTTGTTACTACACACAGCATTTGTGATTTTCAATGTGGACAAATTTTGTAAATATGACCTCAGGTATAGAGTTCTGTGTAGATCTGTTATATCACATTTGGTTAAAATAGTAATCTTCAAAATGAAGTACTTCTATTTTAGCCTTAAATTTCTCCTTGTAACATGTCATGTGATTTGGTGAATGGGATCTCAGGAATGAGTGCTTTATTATGTATTTCACTTACAACACTGCAGGGGAGATATCAAACAACTGACGAATGTGAAACAGTTCCACTGTAGGGACTTGATTTTCCTATGAGGTCATAATAGACATTGTGAACCAGTCTGCAGTTACAGTCGCAAAGCAAAAATCTTCAAGTGTCTTATTAATGTTTTAATTTTGAAATAATTTTAAAATAAGAGAAAAGTTGTAAAAATAGGGCAATGAACTCTTGAATACCCTTTTCCCAGATTTACCAGTTGTCAGCATTTCACCATATATGCTTCATCATTCTGTGTGTGTGTGTGTATATAAGAATATTTTTTCATCATTTGAAAGTAAGTTGCTGCTATCACACACCCTTTCATTCCTAATATATTGGTATATTTTTCTAAGGACAGGACACTCACTTAAAAAAAACCTGTAATACTGTCACTGAACTCAAGGGGTTTGCCACTTGGGGTGTTCTATTCAAGAATGAGACATGGTTGTAGCAAGGTTTTACTTACTTGCAGCAAGAAGAGATGGGGTTCACATCCAAAGCTGTCTCCCCAAAGAGGCTTAGCCAACACTCATCCATGTTGATTTCTTTGCTGTTGACTACTTTACCCAGTTGAGTTCCTGTCAAGCTCATCCTGTTCACCGCTGCATCTGCAGAATACTGGGCTGCACTTTACCATCTAGACATTTAGCAAGAATAACTTTTAATAAGAACAGCCCAGACCTTGAGATATTTGTCCTACCTAACTGTGATCAACAGCTGGAAGTACAATATTAAAACAATACTATTTTACAGTCCGTGGACCATATTTTGATTTGTCCAATTGGGGTAAAGAACCCCAATAGTGTTCTTTACAGCAGTTACTTTTCTGGTCTAGAGGCCAGTCTAGGAGCATGGGTTGGATTTAATTTTCATGTGCCTTTATTCCTTTAAAATTTGGGATGTTTTTCAGGCTTCTTTCATCTCTAATAACACCAACATGTTAGAGAAGTCTAAATTATTTTACGGACTGTTTCTCAATTCTCTGATTTTTAAAAATAATTATATTATGCATTTTGGGCAGAAAACCTCAGAAATGGCATTTTATCCACCTCCATGCACTTGAGGAGATGCAGATGTTGGTTTGTCCCATTGTCTGCGATCATTTGGTGGCTCCGATCACTTTGGCTCAAATGATGCATCTCAGATTTCCTCACTGTAAAATTCTATTTGATATGTATTTTGTGAGGAGATGTTTTAAAAGTATATAAATATAATTTTTCTCACCAATTCTCATCCACTAGTTTTAGTATCTATTGATGATTCTAGCCTAAACCTTTATAGAAACCATAAATTGGAAGTTCTCTACATCATTCCTTTATACAGGGAGTGGCAAAAAGGTAGGTTTACAGTTTTGAGTACACAAAACACAGTTTCTTCTAGTATTATTTATTAATTATTATATTTTCCATACAAATAACTGTAAGCCTACTTTTGTCCTACTCTGTATTAGTTGGCATTGTATTACAAGAAGATCTTTCCCTTCTTCCTCATTATTTGTTCATATCAGTATGGTCTCCTGGAATATTATTTCATTCGGGGGTTTATAGTTTGTTATATTTGTTACTATCAATATGTACTTTGGGCTCTGGCTGGTATAGCTCAGTGGATTGCGCATGGGCTGTAAACCAAAGGGTCGCCAGTTTGATTCCCATTCAGGGCTCATGCCTGGGTTGCAGGCCAGGTCCCTAGTGTGGGCCACGTGAGAGGTCATCACACACTGATGTTTCTCTCCCTTTCTTTCTTCCTCCCCTCCCTTCTCTCTAAAAATAAATAAAATATTTAAAAAATATATATACTTTGGTGTTTACTATCCAGTTGTAGGCCCTTTAAGCTGCTTCCTGTATACATTTGATACAAATCCATCATTTCTTGAGCCCTTCCTTACTTTAGGTACAGTAATAGGTTCTAGGTTTATCTCGCACATTTCCCGCCCCAGCCCTGGAACTGGCTGTTTTTCCAAGAAGCCCTGATGTCTCCTTCAGTGGGTTATCTGAAGCAGCATAATATAATATTTCAAAGCCCAGGCTCTGTCACTTGTTAGCTGAGTTGATTTAGTCAAAGTATTTAGCCTCACTAAACCCCAATTTTTATCTGGGAAATGAGGATGAAAATGGTACATATCTTGTAGTTTTGTTGTGAGGGCTAACTTAGATAATTCACTTAAGGAACAATGCATGTCACATAGCATATATGACATAAATGTTGCCTATTATTATTATTATTATTATTATTATTATTATTACATTATTCCTTCTTTTCTTCTTTTTTAACAGGATGTATTTTAAAGAATTATTGAAGATGAAACATTTTATTTTCTTTTTTTAATGGCTTTAGAGAATTTTAAATCGAATACAATTTGACATGACGGCAAAAAATGTAAGTATTTGTAAATTTTTTAATGTGTTTTTAAAGTGAGTTGTACTTTTTCCCTCAGGTCTTTTATTCACCACTCAGATTAATCAAATTCAGTTTACTGGTATTAGTTCAAAATTATCTTTGTTCATGCAAAGAGTGAGACAGTGAACTCCAATCCTATTGAATGCAGTACGCTAATGGGCACGGGAGCATTCTTAAAAATTGCTGCTAAATGGCTCCTCCTCAACAGCTGCACCGTTGCTATCTCCAGACAGTCCCCCTGCCCCCACTGCTCCTTTGTTGGGTACTGTAATAAATTTGTTTTGGTACGTGCTGGAGAGTTTCTTGCCCTTACTGTTTTCTTTGGTTCAATTTTTTTAAAATTTTTTTTAAAGATTTTATTTATTTATTTTTAGAGAGGGAAGGGAGGGAGATAGAGAGAGAGGGAGAGAAACATCAATGTGCAGTTGCTGGGGGTTATGGCCTGCAACCCAGGCATGTACCCTGGCTGGGAATCGAACCTGCGACACTTTGGTTCGCAGCCCGCGCTCAATCCACTGAGCTACACCAGCCAGGGCCGGTTCAATTTTTTTTTCACTCAGGGAATGCATATACTCAGAAGTCATTCAGACCTTGCTCTCCCCCATGACATTGATTCTTGACATTACATTAGACCTTAGATGTTTTGAAGAAGTTGCTCATTTTTTGTTGTTGTTGTTCAAAACTGTCATTTCTGGATCCACTTTCTTTGAAGTTACATCCTTATTGTCACTCTATCAATGGATTTGTTTCCAGTTAATGGTGAGGGATTATGCCAGGATTATTATGTTGGAATCTTGATTGCAGGTTACAGAAACTACCTTAGACTACCTTAAACAAAAAGAGAATTTATTATAAAAATACAAGGATGTCTCCAGGAACTTGAACTCTACCAGGAATTGAGGCAGTGTTTCGTTTCCATTAATCATTCCTGCTTTTCTCTGTGCATCTGCCTCATTACTCTGTCTCTCTGCAAATCTTCCTCAGTTCTCCGGTCAGCATCTCAGTCACCGTGTTATAGAACCAGCCTGTTCAGAGAGAGTGGAGTGTGAAGGGAGGGGCAGAGGCAGCCTGACAGATTCTCAGCTCCAGTTTCAGGCTCCTTGGGAAGGATTTGGCCGTGTTCAAGTCTGAGATCCACTAGTGATTTAGTTAGTTGTCATCAGGAGAGGCAAACATGATATTGAGTAAAAAGTTCTCCTTATGAGCCAGACAAATAGTTCTAAATACTACCATTAAACATCTAAAGAATAGCAGTAAGAAATAAACTCTTATACTTATCTCTGTTTTGCTATTTTTTAAAAAATATATATTTATTTATTTTTAGAGAGAGGAAGAAAGGGAGAAAGAGAGGGAGAGAAACATTAATGTGTGGTTGGTTGTCACACGTCCCCACCTGGGGTCCTGGCCCGCAACCCAGGCATGTGCCCTGACTGGGAATCAAACCTGCAACCCTTTGGTTCACAGACTGGCACTTAGTCCACTGAGCCACACCAGCCAGGGCTGTTTTGCTATTATTAATTTTGCTTTTAGCATGCACTACTGGCTCTAAGCCAGATATTTTGCTTCATTAACATTTAGTTAATTTTGCTGGAATAAATTACCAAGAATAGTTCACTGTCATCTAGGACTCTTACGTATATTTATTAAAGTGTCATTTGGGGAAAAGACAAGAAATTTTAGTCTTCGTATTGGGAATTTTCTTACAGGATATTACCTTGATTTTCTCTCCTTTAGAAAGAAGGAGGATGTGAAACTTATCCTGAGCAACAAAATGGTTAGCACTTAAATAGCAAAAGTAAATTTTGGCTTAAAATGTACCTTGAATCAAATACAATCTTCCTAGCCATGTGCACAGTTTGCTGGTTAAAAGTTGTTTCCTGAAAGTGACATGAAGCATCTGAAATTACCAGTGCTAATTATACCACATTTATGTTGTGTATATCTTTGGAAGAAAACAATGACCAACATGTTTTACCCACGTGTGGTGGATAAAAATTCAGGAGGGATATCTCAGGAGCGAAGAGTCCCAGTCCCACACCAGGCCCCCCAGCCAGGGTTCCAGTGCCAGGAAGAAAAGTCCCCACAATTTCTGGCTGCAACTACCAGCAGGGATTGAGACAATGGAACAAAATGCTAGAGTCCCAAGCAGTTCCCCTTAGAGAAGCCACAAATGAACTTACTCAGATTTACTCCCACTGAGCTCCAGCACTGGGGTAACAGCTTGAAAGGCACCAGTGGTATACAGGGAGAAACTGAAGTGTCTGGTATCAAGATGAGAGCTGGGGGACAGCTTTCTCCCAGAGAAAGGCGGGCACAAGCCACAGAGCCAGCAGGCAGGCGCCCTATCTGAGACTCCATCAACCTGGCTGAAACGGTTTGCCCTGCCCATGAGACTCCCTCCCACCCAATTTACAGCTGTTAAAAGTGGATTTTCCATCTGAATGACTGGAGTTGGCTCATGCTTCACAGCTTCCTAAATCCCTTCAAACAAGCAATAGCTGGCCTTAGTGAGCCCCCAGCCCACATACCTCTTACAAAGCGGCCCCAAGCCTGGCACTAGCAGCAGCCAGCACAGATTCACAATTTGGCTTCCCCTGGGGATCTCCAAGCCAAGCACAAGTAGCAGCCATCTCAGATTGCTCTATAGCTCAGGAAGGGTGACCCCAGGCAAAACACAGATGGGGGCTCATCTTAGCTGCACCACCAGGGAAACCCAGAGCCTGCACACCCAGTGGACAGTGATAAGCCACATTGGAGCACCACCACCCTGCCCCTGCACAGTTGATCCTCCACAGAGGGTAGAGGTTGGTGGTCAGTGGTCACAGCCAGTCCTTGCAGCTGACTGGCCTCCCATTGACCTGCCAATAGCAACCAAGGCTCAACTACAAGAGGAGGGGGTACTCAGCTTACACAGAGGGTACACCTCAAGTACCCAGTTTGGGTGATAGGGGAGGCTGTGCCACTGGACCCTGCAGGACACCTACTACATTAGACCATGCTACCAAGAGAGAGTCATAGCACCTCTACCTAATACATAGAAACAAACACAGGGAGGCAGCCAAAATGAGGAGACAAAGAAACATGACCTAAATGAAAGAACAGAACAAAATGCCAGAAAAAAAAAACTAAACAAATGGAGATAAGTAATCTACCAAATGCAGAGTTCAAAACACTGGTTATAAGGATGCTCAGAGAACTTAGTGAAGACCTCAACAGCATAAAAAAGATCCAGTCAGAAACGAAAGATACACACTAATTGAAATAAAGAACAATTTAGGGAAACAACAGTAGATTGGGTGAAGCCGAGAATCAAATCAATGATATGGAACATAAGGAAGCAAAAAACAGCCAATCAGAACAACAAGAAGAAAAAAGAATCTGGGGGAAAAAAAAAAGGATAGTGTCAGCAGCTTCTGGCACAATGTCAAGCATTCCAACATTCGTATCATAGGGGCACCAGGAGAAGAGAAAGAGCAAGAAACTGGAAATCTATTTGAAAAAAAATAATGAAAGAACACTTCCCTAAATTGGAGAAGGAATTAGACATGCAAGTCGAGGAAGCACTGAGAGTCCCAAACAAGATGGATGCAAAGATGCCCACTCCAAGACACATCATAATTAAAATGCCCAAGGATAAAGATAAAATCTTTTTTTTTAAGATTTTATTTATTTATTTTTACAGAGAAGGGAAGGGAGGGAGAAATAGAAGGAGAGAAATATCAATGTGTGGTTGCCTGTCATGTGTCCCCTACTAGGGACCTGGCCTGCAACCCAGGCATGTGCCCTGACTGGGAACCGAACCAGTGACCCTTTGCTTCATAGGCCTATGTTCAATCCACTGAGCTATACCAGCCAGGGCTAAAGAGAGAATCTTAAAAGTAGCAAGAGAAAAGCAGGTAGTTATCTACAGGAGAGTTCCCATAAGACTGTCAGCTGATTTCTCAAAAGAAACTTTTCAGGCCAGAAGGGATTGTCAGGAAATATTCAAAGTGATGCAAATATCCCTATCCCTATAGGTCCCTACCTATATCCAAGATTGCACTACCCAGCAAAGATACCATTTATAATGGAAGGGCAAGTAAAGAGCTTCCCAGACAAGAAAAAACTAAAGGAGTTCATCATCACCAAAGCATTATTAAATAAAATGTTAAAGGGATTTATTTAAGAAAAAGAAGATCAAAACTATGAATGATAAAATGGCAGTAAATACATATATATCAACAATTGAATCTAAAAAAACAAGGGAACAAGAACAGAGACAGGATCATGGACACGGAGAACATTTTGATGGTTGCCAGATGGAAGGGGGTTGTGGGGGAATGGGTGAAGAGGTGAGGAGATTAAGAAGTGCAATCAGGTAGTCACAGAATAGCCATGGGGATGTAAAGTGCAGTATAGGGAATGGAGCAGCCAAAGAACATATACGCATGACCCATGGACATGAACATGGTGTGGGGACTACCTGAGGGAGTGGAGGGTGCTCAGTGGAGGGGGGCTAAGGGGGAAAAGTTGGGACAACTGTAATAGCATAATCAATAAAATATAATTTAAAAAGATGAGAAATATATAATCTCAGGTAATGATAAATGTTATGAAGAAAAAGAGGGTAAAAGGAGAGAGAGTGGTGAGGATGAGGGGGCACCCTTTCATCTTGGTGTCCAGAAGAGTCCTTTTTAAGAGGAAATGTCATTTAGACAGAGCAGTGCTCTTAAGTCTCCATCCAAGAAGGAGCCAGCCATGTACTTATCTGGGGAAAGAGCACTCCACATAGAGGCAGGTGACAGTGTGGCTGTTCATGGAGCAGGAAGATGGTCAGTTTATAGGTGGAACAGAGTAAGCAAGGGAGAGTGATAGGAGCCAGATCGTGTGGAGCCTTGAAGACTAGGTGAAGGATATGATTTTAAATGTCAGTGAGGAGCTGTTGGGGGTTCTGAGGATAGTTGTGTGACCTGACTTAAAAGTTTAAAAGGTTATTCTGG